TTCTGAGCCAGATCTATCCAATCCATACCNNNNCCATCCCATCCTATCTCTCTAAGATCCATTCTAATATTGTCCACCCACCTACGCCTTTGTCTTCCCTGTGGTCTCTTTCCTTCTGGCTTTCCCACCAATATCCTATGCGCATTCCTCGTCTCCCCCATTCGTGCTACATGACCTGCCCACCTCATCCTCCTTGACTTGATCATTCTAATTATACTTGGACAAGAGTACGAGTTATGAAGCTCCTCACTGTGCAGTTTTCTTCAACCTCCTGTCACTTCATCTCTCTTCGATCCAAATATTCTCCTCAACATCCTGCTCTCAAAGACGATCAGGATATGGAGGTTAAAATTATTTAATAAAGGAAAATAATTCATCTTGTGTCTTTATTAAATTGTGTGCTATGAGAGCCGGTATAATGATTGGCTACAGGCTGGATTGCAGAGAGACAGAAATTTGATTCGTGGTAGGGGCAAAATTTTTCTCTTCTCGACAGCGTCCAGATATATCCTGAGGCCAATCCGGCCTCTTACAAAGAGTATCTTGGGTTCTTTCCGCAAAGAAAAGCGGTCGAGGCGTGAAGCTGACCACTCACCTCCAACTGGTGCCAGGGACAATCTTACCTTCTACTATGAGAGATAACTATGACCGAAAAAGATCACAAAATTTGCAGTTCGTGAGAGCCATAAATAGAATATTATTGGAGTCTTAATGAAAATATTTAAATTCGTATCCCAGTATAACCGCAACCACGTGTGAAAATCGTACAAACGATCAGAGATTGTTTCAGCGTACGGGACATACTGCTGCTGCTTTATGAGCAAGTAACTGATTTTAATGTATCAGACCGACAGTCCTTTGTGTCCGATTGGATTTAGTTGCCTCAATAAATAAAACGTGAATGGGAACAAAATTGGGGGAGGGTGCCGTGGAGTGAAGGTCAAGCTGTTTAAATTCCTGCATTAATTATAAGCATGGCCCGGATTTTGATGACATGTCACCTTTTTTTCCATTGTATCCTATGCGATGCTCTTAAATATATAAATCTCGGATATGAGCTGCTGGTTACGGAAATGTAAATTTTATAGGTATTTTTTTTTTTTACATTTTTAGGTTTAAGGTCATTTTTTTCATTTTGGGGTTAATTTTTTGGTAAATTTTTGGACTTTTAAGGGTATTTCTCGTAATTTTTGGCCATTTTAGGGAATTTTTCTTCATATATTTTCTGAAATGTGAATAACATGGAAGTGAAGGTCATTTTTCTGGATTTTTTGGTCATTTTATAGGTCATTTTTAAATATATTCAGGTCATCAAAATCCGGGCCCTGATTATAAGAGATAGATAAGCAAGGCTGAAACAAAAATAGGAAGACTTTGAATGACGTGTCTAAGGGACTTCGCTCGCTTCGTATTTGAAACAGACCATCTTTATTTTCGCGAACAACGATCAGGCCTCACCTTCCTGGTGACCTGTTGCAACGTCAGTAACATGAGTAGAAGTATAACACTTTCAGGATCATTTACTTGACTTGTTGTCTGAATAAACAGGCTAAATTTATAAACATTAGATATACTGCAAAGAAAATTTAATTCAGTTTTATCTCTTTCCTTAATCCGTTTAAACAAGTTTCACAAAAATTCTGATACATAAAGTAACATATACACGTACTTTCAAACAAGTACTAGAGGTCATGAATTTTTGATGATCTGTTTACGTACGTAATAAACGGTTTTCTGTGTTCTTCTTCAAGGTAAAGCTATCCCTGTAACAGGCCGTAGAGGCCCATAAGGTCGTGAGGCGTCGAAGCTCCCACATTTTTTCGGCAAACCGCTCAGAGCTGACTGTGAGGTTGTCAGCCTTACGAGCCGGCCGCCCTTTACCTGCAGGAAGATTCCTGGTACACATTTGTGTTAGAGGCTGAGTCGACTCAAGGGCTATAATGCGTACTTCTCTTCTAGTATCGGTTCCATCAAAAGCTAACGTAAATTACGAATAGGTGATTACACAATTTACGGATCTATTTCTGTTCAGTCTTTCCGCTACCGTATATGCATACTGCCTCAGAGCTTCTGTCCTTTAGACCAAGTCCAGCATTATCCGTAACAGGATCTGTTAAGATCTCCTTAACAGCTATGGAATTTCAAGAAATTTACAGGGTTAAAACAGATTTTCCTGTCCTACCATTCGAAGAAAACAACCAGAAATTGTATTAGCTTGCATAGATACATGACCATAAGGCAAGTCACAGGTATATGAATAAAAATTACAGGTGGTTGTTGAACGACCGCCTCTGTGGTCTAGTGGTCAGATTTTCTGGCTACAAATCCCGATATCCGGGTTCGATTCTAGGCGCTACCAGGTTTTCTGAGAAGTAGTGGGTCTGGAATGGGATCCACTCAGCCTCGCAAGGATAATTGAGGAGCTATTTCAAGGAAATAGTGTCTCCGGTCTAGAAAACCGAGATTAATGACCGTGGGGATACGTTGCGCTGACCACGCGACACACACTATACGCAAAAGTTGGCACTAACTTCGCTGACAAGCGGCGGTCGCTCGGTCGGTATAGTTCGCTTGCGGACTAGAGGCAACGGAGTTTGATGGTGGATAAACAAATTATAACGAAATCTACGTAATTTTCATAGTTTTCTTCAAGTAATATGAACAGAAGTTTAAAATAATTCATGTTAGGTTTTTTATACTCGTAGGTAGTAAAATACAGACTTTCAGTCCAAATATCACAGTGTGGGGCCTTCATGTGAGTAGCATTAACGTCCTGTGCACAAAATATTCTTGTAACAAAATCTTCCTCGAAAAACATTCAGGATATAAATTTATTTAAGTTTAAAATGAAAATATATTTGCTATTTTTTTTTGGCAAATTTATGATTGCAGAAGTGTTTTTTTTTCTCATCTGAAGCGCTACATTCAGATGTGACCTGTCACATCACAATCACACACAGACCACACAAACTCACGGTTTATAATGATTTAGTAGTGCGGTTTTTACTGAACTTCATAATTATTTTTATTTTTGTTTTTCAGTTTAGTGGGATATATCAAAATATATGGGACCACATATTGCGCCAGTCTTTAACTACGTAGGATTTTAGGTGCTCATGGCGGTAGTTGTAAAGGGTACTATTTTCTGGGATATAACGCCATGAATTCTGTTAAAAGCCAACTGTCGTTTCGGATGAATATATCTCCTCCATCTTCACAGTCGAATAAGCCGAGCAAGATGCCAGGGTGAAATCCGGTGGCAAGATGGAGGCAATGTGTTCCTCCGAGAAGTCAGTTGACTTCAACGGTCAGTCAGTATAGGGACTGACTACAGGCTGGACGAGAGTTCGTGTCCCTGTAAGGCCAAGAATTTTCTCTTCTCCACTTCGTCCAGACCGGTTCTGGGGCCCACCCGGCTTCCTGTACAATGGGTACCGTGGGCTCTTTCTCCGGAGGTAAAGCGGCCGAGGTGTGAAGCTGAACACTCACTTCCACGTAATGTCGAGGTCAAGAAAATGTGGATCTATACATCCACTCCCTCTACGCCTTCATAGCATAGTGCTTAAGTAGTTAAGCACAGGGAGAACTTTACCTTTTACACGGCGTTATATCCCGGAAGTTAGTGCCCTTCATGTTATAACTATTTTGTCGCGTTATATTTACTTGCGATAAGATATTCCGTAGTGAAGAATTTAATGGTCTTGAAGTGTAACGGCCTTATTCAGGCTGTTACGTAAGAGTGTTTACGATTTTCCAGCGATTAAGTAAATATATATGCCAGTTAAATTTGGTCGTATATGCAGTTTCTTCGCAGGTTGTTTAACAAGTCACACAAACCACAACACACAACTTTTTATTTCCATTTTATTGGAGTCAGATTCTGTTTAATATTATATCAGGCAAATTAATTTTTCTTTTTTTCCGAAATATTAAATTCGAAAGAAGGCAAACTGCGAAAGAATAGAATCGACCAAAGGAGCTCCAAATTATAGGTATCAATTTTGTACGCTAACTGAACAATGCGAGTAATATATGTTCAACAAATATTGTAAGTAGCTTTGCATAGGGTAGACTCTAGCATAAATACAAGTAGTATTTTCAATACTGCATTTCGACCTCGTGTTTATAGACAGGTGTGGCCATACTGTACTTTCATATTATCTTACTATTCTTGAGAATATGGAAAATGAATCTGTCCCTTCAAGCCGGGCCCACTAACGTAGCAGAAGTCCTGGCTGGAAAGAATTTCCAATGAAGTTCTTTCCCGCTGCACTGGTAACTCCATTCTATCTGCGTTGGTTCTGATATATACCTGAACACACAATTTGGATGTAAAACTTCAGCAAAACGAAACAACCCCCTGAAACAATATTCGTCGCTAAACAGGTTAGCCTTATATTTCTGAGAAAGCGGATAGAGTGGGTATTAGAAACGGGTTGACTCCGATTGCTTTAACACACACCACCTGACTTTTTCTTTGCTAAGGGCCATTACCAACCTTATTTGTACCATGTAATAGTCCGTAGCCGGTCACAGTGATCACAGTGGTCGCGCGGTCTAAGGCATGAACAGTCTTCGCTCGCTCGGACGCTGGGATAGCGGGTTCGAATCCAACTCAAGGCATGGATGTTTGTGTTAGTAGAGGCCTTGCGACAGGCCGATCCCCCGCCCAAAGAGTCCTACCGACTGTCCTAGATTAAGAGAACATAAAACTTACTTGAAGAAAGCAGTCTTCTGGGATTTGGCACCGTGTATATGTGGTGTTAACCGACGTTTCGGAGGAACGTATCGCCTCCATCTTCAGGGTAGAAGGAAAAATATAAGAAATCCGCANACTTACTTACCTCGACACCGTAAAGGTCTAAGAGGAGCAGACAAAGAAACAGTCCATGCCTGCTAATTGTAACCACACAGAAACAAAACGTCTATACCGGCATGTGTAGTTTCCGTCCAGTTACACGAAACCAGGCAACCGAGTATGACCGAATGTTTTGTTGCAGGACTACGAAGTCGATTTGTACCTGCGACAGAAGTGGCAGGACGAGAGGCTGAAACATGCGGAGATTACTGAAGCTTTGGACCTGAACGACCCGAACCTGGTGAAGGCCATATGGAAACCGGAAGTGTACTTCCCTAACGCGAAGCACGCCGAATTCCAGTACGTCACCGTACCTAACGTCCTTGTGCGCATCAACCCTGACGGAGAGATTCTCTACATGCTGAGGTGGGTACTGCCTCCACCTATTGCACAGCCCCGTGTTTCCTTTCGGGGTAAAGTAAACACGCATTTAGTCTGTGCTAAAGAAATTCATCTGGAAGTAAATATATATATAAATAAATACCTGTATGCAAACTTAATAATGAACTAAATAAACAATACGGACATATTAAACCATCGTTATTGTAATTGTAATTGTTGTAGTTGTTGCCTTCTACAAGGTTTAGGCGTATTGGCCTGTTCAGATCCTGTTTTTACTAATTCACCTTTTCATCCCTTCAGAGACTTTCGCTGTCCTCTAATTTATTGAGGCTTTAGCCCAGAATTCTCCTTGGAATTCGTTCTGATGACGTTCCTATCACAAGTTACAAATAATTTTATTAGTATTATTTTATTTCTTGTGTTAAATTGTGGAAAACTACATAATGAGGAGCTTCATATTTTTATTCTTCTCCAAGTATAATTAGAATGATCAAGTCAAGGAGAATGAGAGGGTCAGGGCATATACCACGAATGGGGAGAAGAGGAATACGTATAGGATATTGGTGGCAGTGCCAGAGGGAAAAAGGCCGAAGACCAAGACGTAGGTGGGTGAACAATATTAAAATGGATCTTAGAGAGATAGGATGGGATGGTATCGATTGGACTGGTCTGGCTCAGGATAGAGACCAGTGGAGGGACTTATGAACACGGTAATGAAATTTCGGGTCCCATAAAATGCTGGGAAATTCTTGAGTAGCTGCAGAATTGGCAGCTTCTCAAGAAGGGCTCAACTCCGTAAGTAAGTAATGTCAAATTGTGTGTTTGTGTTATACTGCGTTTATTTTCTTTCCTGTTCTATGTCAGGCCGCTGCTAGTCTGGAGAAACCCATCCACTTCTTGAATTAGAGTCACTGGCGTAAAGGAGAGATGGCAGTTCTATACCTTTGTAAAATTTGATCATTTTTTTTTTCGCTTCATGATCAATGTTAGTTTAATTTCCTCACAGGTGCTGTTAAATGTACGTTCGAGTAGCTTGGTTTTAATTCCAGATTTCTCTCATAGTTCTTTGACAATAAATTTAATTTAAGTAGGATTCGAGGTTCCCGCAGCTGTGGTTACTGTGAGTTCCATCTTCTGGGATATAACGCCGATAGCCTTTTGAAAATCAACCGACGTTTAGGAGGAAAATATTGCCTAAATTTTCAGGGTCGAATAATAATCAAAACAAGAATTCAGGGTGAATACAGCCCCAAAATCAGAAGATATAACTCGTCAATTTAAGTTAGAACCCCTAGCCTGTTTCATAGTAATATTTTCTATCACAATTGCTGCTCTTTCTAATTTATTCCTTTAAACGCCAACGCCTTTGTTTCAATCGAAATTTTCTTGTTATACACTGATGGAGTTCCACGTGATTGATGTAGGAATCTTTTTCGATAATCTTCAGAAGCTGTCAGAATAGACAAATCACTTGAAAACAAGCCTAACATCAAAAATTCTAATTTTAAGTGACCATTCTTTACTGACAAAACCAACAGTCAAAATAAAGCTTCACAACGGCAGAAAATTTTGAACATCCCTCTCTCACTTGGTCGTCATTTCTTTCTCTTTCTACTATCAGTTACATTATCTGTTTCGACAAGAGCCCGGATAACGCAGTCCGTTAGTGACTGGCTACGGGCTGGACGGCCTAGGGGTCCGAGTTCGAGTCCCGGCACTAAACAGGTTCTTCTTCTCTCCACGTTTTCCGGTCCAGACCGATTTTGGAGCCCACCTGGCGTTCTATCGAATAAGTACCTAGGGTTCTTCCCCCGGGGTAAAGCGACAGAGCCATCAAGCACATCACTCACCTCCAAATAATGCCGAGGTCAAGAATATGTGGATCTATACTCGTACATCTACTCCCCCATACATCTTCATGGCGTAGTGTTTAATTAATTAAGCACAGGGAAAACGTTATATTTGTTTCTACAAACGTATTTTGGATTGCTCTTCTTAGATGCTGTGGAACGCCTTCAATTCTCAGAACGAGTCAATCTTTATTTCCGTTTATTTTACCGAAATTTTTTATACATAGACTGAGGAAATTCATGAAAAACCTGTAAGGAAAGCTGATCTGCGGACCGAGGTTCCAGTTGCAAGTCTATAGTGTTGCAGTTGTACCAACCATTATTTTTCTTAATTTTAAACAAGAAGAATGAAGATTTTCAACATGTAAATGTGCCTCTCCGTACTCGCCTTCCCCCCGTCCTTCTTCATCTCTGTAATATACGTAACAGATTCTTTCGCCCAAAGATATGATTCCCTACCTATTATTATTTTTTTATTGCTAGTGGGGTGGGACTAAGTCCCTGTACTGCGGCCACTTCTGGCCTATTGTACCAGCCCCAGATGGTAGGTGAGGTTGATTGCGGAGCAATTGGTGGAATGAAGATTAGCAGGGGAAACCGAAATACTCGGAGAAAACCTTCCCCAGCGCCACTTTGTCCGCCACAAATCCCACTTGACCAGACTTCGGATCGAACCAGGGCCGCCGCGGTGGGAAGCCAGCGACTAACCTCTTGAGCTATGGCGCGGCCAAACCCTATCTAAACAGGATCTGTCTCTTCTAAACGGTCTTTGCACTTCCACTAACCCTTCAAAAACTGAATTGCTTCTGGATAATACATAAGAATTCAGTTTGAACCTCACAGGAAACTCATTATTTCCCCTTACACACACCAATCAATTAATGCTGTTAGGAGAACTGCCGCAGTTTACTGTGAGAACAATATGAAACACACAGATACACTCTGTGGGCACAATACAGTTTTAGTATGTGCATGTTGTATCCACCGGGCTATTAAGTGTTAATATATTTCTGCTAATTTGCCGATTATATTTCTTAATGTTTTGGTTATGTTTCATAATATGAATTAAATATACTTTTCCCCTCTCTAAACAGAGCATTCACTTCTGTTGCCTCATTTCATTCTTGGATATATCTAAGCCATGTTGCATTTCTCGGGTGTAAATCAGTTACATCAAGCCACGTTTAGTAATTCCGAAGTTCTTAAGAGAAAGAATAGATCTCCCTTTACATTAAGTTCTATGTACAGTATATATCATTTATATCCGTAACTGTCATTTTTTAAAACTTCGTAATGTCATCAGCAAGGCCCGGATTTTGATGATATGTCATCTTTTTCTCCTTGTATCCTCTGCGATGCTCTTAAATATATAAATCTCGGATATGAGCTGCTGGTTACAGAAATGTAAATTTTATAGGTAATTTTTGTCATTTTTTGACATTTTTAGGTTTAAGGTCATTTTTTCATTTTAGGGGTAATTTTTTGGTAAATGTTTGGAATTTTAAGGGTATTTCTTGTTATTTTTTGGCCAATTTAGGGAATTTTTCTTCAAATGTTTTCTGAAATGTGAATAACATGGAAGCGAAGTGTTCTTTCTTTTCTCCTTTAGGTAATTTTTCTGGATTTTTCGGTCATTTTATAGATCATTTTTTAAATATTTTCAATTCATCAAAATCCGGGCCCTGGTCATCAGTAACACACCTAATTCAAGCTTGTCTGCATTTCTGACATTTGCTACCATATAAGAGTCTCGAAGATTTTGCTAGTGAATCTTCATAAAATTATTCTGAAATTATAGTAAAATATATTGTGTTTTTCTGTTCCATTTAATTGCTCTTATTATAAATACATCGCAAAACTGTGATTCGCGAGCCGCATGGCTCTTTATAACCGTTAGGGAGGCTCGTAAAAAAAAAAGTTAGTCAGTGGCTTTTTTTTTTACGAACGGAATAAATCCAGGGCATTGCGGCGTGGGAAGCCCCTTATCTTTGCCATCCAGTGCATGTTTGTTTGTGGCTATCGTATTTCTGAATATTGTTATAAGCGACTCCGATGTTCCATAAGTCTGGCCTCCCTTTACTTTATAGGGTTTGTCATACTGGCTATGAATACCGTATTTTAAACCTGTAATATAACCTTCCTCTGTTTTCTGTTGTTTTTTCTCATTTCTCCCGTCACTGTTGCCGATTTCAGTTTGTAGTCCATTCTTTCCGCCTCGGATTTGGTAGTTAGGAATTTTATAGATGCTTGCTTTTTCATCTTTTATTATGTCCGTCATTTTTGCATTCTCGTACCTGCCAGTAAGCTAAAAAATGCAAATAATAGAACTCAGAGGTAAGATTAGCAACCTTTCTGCGGGACGGTAAACTGAGAAAGAAACCTACGCACCTGAAAGCAGAAAGATGACGGACCCACACCAGACAAATCCATTGAAATGCTGCAAACTTAACATGCAGGAACTCTGCCACGAATTTACCCCAATGAATCAGGGCATAATATATAATTTAAAAGTATTTTATATTCTAAGTAACTTGGAATAGCATTATGTCCCTTCTTTAAATCTGATGAAATTTGATTTTGGATTCATGTAAAATTGGCTTCATATATATCGGCACTTATTAAATTAAATTCGCCCCACAACTTTCAGTATCGACTTCATAACAAAATCTTTCCAGGAATTTGGGGTACCAAATATGAGAACACATGAGCAGACTCGAATTTCTCATGATGATCTTATTGTATGGATTTATGAAAAGCATAAAAAGAAGTAGGAAGAAACGCAGCATAACACATATGTATTTTCAATTACAGCATATAGAATTTGTTTATTTACAGTTAACTAAAAGCAGCCCTTCTTCAGGTCATTGTAACCAGATGATATGGCAGAAGCATGGTTTAAGAAGGTATTGTCAGAATCCAGTGATTGTAAGACTAAAAGAAACGCTGACGAAACGTAGATCGCTGCAAGAACAATACCTCCTCAACAGTAAGTTTGCTAGTGAAGAGTACTGGCCTGAAAGATAGGATATTTTGCAAAAGACAACAGAACCTCCAGTCGTCCGTATCCTCAGACAGTACCGTACATAATGATCCATGCTTCAGGACCACATGAATTTTAGGACCATCTGAACAATATTATATGAGAGAGCCCAAATATTGTGACATGACGCCCGA